CAAAGGAAGCCTGGGGTCGTGCTCGGAGAGGGCTGAATAGAAGGACCCAGGCCCCGGGGGGGGGTGTGAACAAAGCCTCAGGTGTGTCGAAGCGCAGACGGGACTCTGTCCAAATCCACCATCCCCAAAGAGCTCCAAACACTTATCTGGAGCCTGACATCTTGCCTCCAGGCTGTGGCCAAGGCCTTGGCGTCGGCGATGTTTACTCTGAGTGAACCAGGCCGTGCCTCCGCTGACGGGGCGCGGAGCCTCCGGATCTGCCCCCTTAATTAGATCCCTTGAGTTCCGAAAACTCAAGCCATCTGGGCAGCGACCCCCTCATCCCCGCCCCCCGCTGCAGGGTGCGTGGGCCTCGAGATGGTAGTCATTCCTGGAACACTGCGGGCTGAGTCCTCGCCCCGCGAACACACATGCACACACACACACACGTGGGGGAGGCTAAGGAGGCCCCGAGGGGCCCCCGGGGCCTGGGCGACGGGTGTAGCACAGGGAAAGGACGCAATACGGTTTCCCCCTATTGTTTCCATAACCTTCCTATGGTTCCTGCCATCGCCTGCTGCAGCTGGAGGGTGGGCCCATCCATGCTCGTGCGCACTCCGGGGAGACGGACGGAGGCTAATGGGAGGCGGACGGAGTTCCCAAGTGGACCAGGAGGAAGTTCTAGGATCAGCAGCTCTGGGGTTCGACTCCTGGTTCCGCCACGAACACATTGTGTGCACGGTGGCGAGCCCGGCCCCCTCTCTGGGTGGCCGTTTCCTCAGCCGTAAGGGGGTATGACAAGTCTCACCCCACGTGGCGGGGGTAACAGGTGACACTGACACAGCCTGGCTATTTAATCTGGCGTCTGAGAGCCTGCAGCCCGCCTCCCGCATCTAAAAGGGAAGACAGCCAATGGGACGGGCCGCAGGGTCGCCTCGCAGATCCGTGGGATGCACAGAGGGGGTCCTTGCTGTTCTGGGTGTTTCCTCAAGCGTGCCCCCAGCCCCTGGTGCTCCCCAAGCCGTCTTCCATGCACAGGGTGCAGGTTTCAGGAGGCATGAGGAGCTGCGGCACGCCAGAGGGAGCAGGCGGCCTCCGGTCCTCCCGCAGACTTTCGGCCACGTCAAGGGCCAGGCCTCGGCTTGGGGTCAGGAGGTCCGTCCCCACTCTGCCACTCTGCCACTCGAGTCTCCTGCTGAGCGGCGCCACACAGGGCCAGGGCCCGCCCCCCAGGCAGAGCCCCCACCGGGCAGACGTGCCCTCTGCTGTGTGTTCACTGTGCTCTGCGGAACGGGCCTCTTGTTTGTGGCCAGAGGGTCTGACTTTTTCCGTGTCCGAGAGCAATAGTGGGTTCTTGGAACACCAAGTGTGATGAGACTTAAATACAATGAAACATTTCTGAAACCCACTGCTGCGTGGACGGACGTGACCACCTTGGGCTCCGTGAGAAACGCCAGACTCAGGACAAACCCTGTGTGACCCACTCACAGGAGGTCCCTGGGGGAGTCACAGTCACAGAGACGGAAAGTAGGACGGCCGGGGCCGGGGACCCGGGAAAGGGAGGGGAGTCCCAGTTTCGTGGGGTCAGAGTTTCAGTTGGGAGGCTGGGAAGATGCAGCTCGGCCACAGACCCCGGGGGTCTGGAGGGCCTGGGTGTGAGTCCCAACTCCCCTCGCCCCGAGTGGGGCGTCACCTCGCCCGAGGGACCCCGCCTCCCTGAGCCTTGGCTTCCCGGGAGCCGGCCTAGCCTGCAGGGAGTGCTGGGTAAGCGCCGGTCAAAGAAACAGGCCCCGAGGGGAAGCCCGGGCGGCCGCCAGTCTCACCCACGAGCCCGCTGTGGGCAAAGCCTGCGGACTCACGGCGGGTTCCCCCCGCACCAGTGCGGGCTGGGCCGGCTCCGACACCCTCAACCCGCCCAGGAGCTCCTGGGGGCAGCCCTGGGCATCTGCCCTCCTCCTCGGCCGTCTGCACGGCACAGGCACTGCGCCCTCTGCTCAGCCTTGCCAGGGACCCTCTGGCCGCTGAAGGACACTCGCTGGGACCCCGTGGAAGCATCCCGAATGCTCATCGATCGGTGAACAGCTGTGGCCACACCACCCCACGGAAGGTTACGCGGCCGCTGAAAGAAGTGAGGCCCCGACACGTGCCGTGGTGGGGGTGGACGTCGGGCACGTGATAAGTCAGGGAAGAAACAGCGCTGACTGAGAGAGAAGCAGCACACAGAAACCAGAGACTGCACGGGATTGGTTACCTGAACTGTCTGAACGGACCAATCCGCCGGCAGAAAGCCCGTGGGGGGCGGGGCGGGCGGGGGCGGGGCGGGGTGGGGCGGGGCCGACCGTGCGGGGGTGGGGTTTCACTCCCGGCCTCTGGAGGGGCTGCGCTACTCCTGCAGGGGGCGTGCTGCAGGGCTGCAGAGGGGTGCCTTGGCGACACTGCTCTGCGTGTTGGGTCAGCTGCGGCCTCTGACTGGCTCCTGAGCAGCGGCGGGGCGCCCTGGTGACCCTCGGGCTGTTGCTGGTGGCTCTGAGTCAGGGGCCCGCTCAGGGTCTCCACGAGGACTTGGCGTCTGAGGAGGCCCTGGTGTCCTCCCCCAGAAAAGCCCATTTGAAACCTGAGCTGCCCCGGGTGCGACCACCAGGAGCTGCCTTCTCTCCCCCACTCGCCTCCTCCCCGCCTCCCTGGCAGGGAGAACCATGGCCCATGATTATAAGCATCGTGTGGCGGCGTGATGGCTGGGTCTTGTAATGATGGCTGTGGCCTCGGGGGACAGGCGGGCCACCTCCCCGCGCCAGCCCACTTGCCCCGGTCTGCTTTCGACATAAACATCTCCCTGGCACACACGGGCTCTTCCCGACCGCCTGGAGGGGCTCCCTGGAGGGCGGGCGCGGGCCCTGGGGTTCCGCCTCCTGCTAGGGCTCTGCCCCTGCCCCGGCCACGTGGGAGCCCCAGCTCACCCCAGCCTGGCACCCTCCTCACCCGGCCACACGCACCAAAATAGCAGCTGAAACCAATCTTTGCGAAAATGAGCTGGTTCAGGCATTCACTAAAATATCTCTTTAAACTGGATGGCATGAAGCAGCTGTCGAAACAGCCCCGGTCCACGAGGGCGCTTCTGCGGGGCTGGGGCTCGGCCACGGGGCTTGGCCACGGGGTTCGTCAGGGCCAGGAGACGGAAGGGAAGAAAGATGGCTTCCGTGGGAGGGAACTAGCACCTATGAGTGGCTGTTTAGCATATTTCTGCTAATAATGATGCACTCAACAATGGGCATTGTAAGGCTGGCTACATGTGCAGTAGCCCATCTCTGACCCAAAAAGGTAAATAGTGGTTAAAAATAGCCAGGATGTATTTACATTTTTCTCCCCCTGAGCCTTTTCGGTTTATAGTTCATCATTCCAGGGGTTAGAATTCTAAAATTTTCTCTGTGTATTTACACAGCGGAGCTGTCTCTATGTGTCACGCCGGCTATCTGGCCTTTCCAAGAAAAATGAGTTTTGATCTCGATTCCCACACAACAGTGCCTTGGGCCCCGTGGACACGCTGGGGGGAGACGCACGTGGCCCCACTCTGCCCCGCTGGGGCGGGAGCCTGGGGCTTCTCGGCAGACCCCTCACAGGTGAGCTCCCTGTGAGGCTAAGGAGAGAGGTGGAGACGCCCCACCTGGAGCCTCCCGAGCTCTTAGTCCAGACCGGAAGGGGACAAGCGCGAGAGGCGAGGGCAGGTCGTCTCTGTCCCTGACCCCTCGGGAGGAGGGGCACTTGAGTCTCCTCTCTGCTCGCAGCACACGGCGTGGGGGGGGGGGGGCGCAGGGAAGCACGTTCTGGAACGGAGACATTTCTTTGTGGTTTTGCTGCGACCAGGAGTTTCTGCCCAGAGCAGTGCCATGGTGCCGGCCCCAGCAGGCCTGGGTGGGTCAGGCCGGCACCCCCCACAGCCACGAGGCATAGACCCCTCCCATGTGGACCTGGCCTGTCCCCACGGGGCGGCTGGGTCCGTCTCCACCAGGGGCCAGCCAAAGCTGGTGGCTTGGGGAGGGTTCACTTGGCAGGTGACTCAGGGGTCCCTGGCACAGGAGGGCTCCCCGCACCAGCCCGGCTCCTCCTGGTGGTGCAGAAAGTGTGAGGTGACCTTTTGAAATGTCATGCGGGCTGCCCCCATCCCGCCACCGCTGTGCTGTGGTTGAGGAGCGGCTTAATTTAGAGAGCTCTTGCAGGCAGGGCTGCTCAGCACTTATTGAATCTATTTGCGGTGTCCTGGGTGTGAGGCTTGTGCAGACCCGGCGGGGCGGGGCGGGGGGGGCTTCCCTGCAGCTCTCCTCGCCCCCCGCATCTCTGTGACCAGGGCGGACGCTGAACGGCCCAGACCGGCCTCCTGCACACAGACCGGGCCTCGCGGTGGCACCGCCCGCCAGCACAGAGCCCGGGCAGGATGTGGTCAGAGGCCCCTGCCTGCCCACCCCCTCGGAGTTCTCTGAGCCTCACTGCACCGGAGCCCTGCTCTCACAGGATTTTTCTCCGCTTTGGGGGTGGGGGGGGGGCAGTTCTCTCTTTACTCAGATTCCAAGAGCTTCCCAGGCTGGGGTTCAAGTTCAGGCTGGCACTTGCCCTGTGACCTCCAGTTCTCCTTGCCATGCGGGGGCCTCGCTGTCTCCTCCTCCCTGGCGAGTTGGGAGAGGGAAGTACTAGGGTCCGGCCGGCTGGGGGAGGGGGCGGGAGCGGGCTCCCTGAAGCGAGGGCCACCCAGGCATCGCCCCACGCTGTGCCTCCCAGGGGCTGGGCTGATACCCCCGCCACCTCCCCCGTGGGCGCCCTTCCCCGGGGGCCTCGCGGAGGGGCGCTCCGCGGCACCGCCGCCCAGGGCCCCGCCGGCCGCCGCGCCTGATAAGACGGTCCGGAGCCGGTGGAGACGCGCCCGCGGCGGAGGGAAGGCGGGGGCGGGCCGGACCCGCGGGCCGTGCGGAGGCTGTTCGTCTCCAGCGTCCCCTGCGCTCGCTCGGTGTCTGGGTCACCGCGGGGGAGTCGGTTTGCGCGGGGCGGGGCGAGGCGAGGGCGGCGTCCTCAGGTAGGCACCCCGGGGGCGGGAGGCTGGCCCGGGACCCCCAGCCCAAAAAGCCGAGGGGGAGGAGTGGCGCGGCGGTGCGCTAGGGCGACCAAGTTTGGCTCCAGCGAGCGCGCGGGCGCGCGGCTTCGCGTCCTGCGTCTAGAGAGGAGGGGGACTGTCCTCTCACCAGCTGCGCTCGGACCCCGGCCCTCGGGGCCCCCCAAGACCAGTCACCCCCTCTCCTGGACCCGGTGCGGCTGGGCACGCCGGAGCCGGGCAGTGAGCCCAGCCATGCTGGAGAGCGACGACATCGGCCTCGAGGGGCTGTCTCCCAAGGAAGACCCCGCGGCCGGTGAGTATCCGGGCGGTGCGGGAGCGCCAGGGGATGGGGAGCGAGGGTCGCACCCCTGGGCAGGCGGCTTCCCAAGCACCGAGGGGCGCACGGGGGTGGGAGACAGGGCGCCGTCCCCTGAGCAAGGACGTCCCCGCGCTCCTCCTGGGTGAGGAGTGCACTTAGTGGGTCCCAGGTCACTGGGGGCACCCACAAACAGGCAGGTGGCAGCCCAACCGCTGGGCTGGGGGGCAGCGCGCCCGCCAGGGCCACTGCTGGGGTGCCTGGAGGTTTCCCAGTCCCCGGAGAGCACCGCCGGGTGGAAGGAAGGATTTCGGATGTTTTTACAGGCGCTATTAATACACATAACATTTCCGTGCGGCTCTGGAGATTTGTTTGCGATATAAAGTAACTACTATGACTCGAAGTCATAATGGAAACAGCAGATGAACAGGGGTGGGAGGGGTGGAGATAAATGAGGCTGGGACGGGCTGGGGGGGGGGGGACTCCCTGGCTTCCTGGGCCTCTCCCTGCCCATAAATCACGACCCTGGATATTTTTGTACCAATAATTTTAAAATAAATGACCCAGGCCATGCTTCCTGGACAGTTTCCCCCTCCCAGTTCAGAGGTTATTAAGTAAACCTGGGAGCGGCCGGGCCCGGGACGAAGGGCTGCAGCCACGACCGGGTCACTGAGCGGCCCCACCAGGTGCCAGGCTGGGACCCTGTGTCCCTCCATCACAGTGGGCCCCTCCCCCTGGAGCCGCCCGCTCCAGCCTGGGGAGCCCTCCCGTTCATCACTCGTTCTCCCGCTCCCCTCCCCACCCCCCCACCTTTTCTTTCTGGATGTCGGAGGAGAAACTCAGCCCGAGGTCTGACTCACAAACAGCCCAGGTTGGCTTCTGCCTAGAAGCGCCCCTGTGTACTCATCAGGTGAAAGGGCTCCAGAGGCAGCGGGAGGGTCCCGCCGGCCAGAGGCAGAGGGGAGAGCAGGGCGCTGGAGGGAAGGGGGCGGCTGGAGACGCCGGCCCAGGGCGGCTGGGCCAAAGCGCCCCTCTCATGAGAACTCGAAGTAAGCCGCGTCCAAGAGACCCCAGCAGTGCATGTAGTCCTCAGGCACTGCCTGCAGTGGGCCCTGCTTGCCCCCCCATTGGGGGGGGGGAACCTGAGGCGTGAAGCCGTCACCCGGGGTCAAGCAGCTGACGAGTGGCCAGGGCAGAACCAGAGCCCGGGCCCCCTGCTCCTCTGTCCCCTGGGTTGGGGACGGGAGAGCTCCTTCTCCAGACTCCTCCACTAGCCTGCTTCACGGGCAGTGACGGCCAGCTGGGTGCCTGACCCTGGGCCCCCTCGGGCCTGAGGACGTGGCAAGGGACAGCGCAAAGGAGTGGCCCTCGGGAAGCTTTCTTGACCATCAGAAATACCTCGTTAAACATCTCACTTGCTGGCTTAGCGATGTGTCTCATGAAAACAGTGGAACCGGAACAGGGGGGATCCTACCCAGGGCAACGCACTTTGTGGGGGAGCGGGGGGACAGCATTCTGCAGCAGGAACAGCATTCTGTGTGGAGGGAACAGCCAGCGCAAAGCCAGTTACCCAGAGGGCCTGAAACATGCTGGGGGGGAGGTGGTCAAGGAGACAGTTTGGGGGGAAGGGGGGACGGGAAGGAGCAGGAGGGGCAACCGGATTGGGCCGGTCTCCGGTCACCATGGAGATGTGGGCGGGGTGAGGCAGTAGCCGCTGGGGGGGCTGGGGCGGGGGCGGGCAGGAGCAGCCTCTGGCTGGGGCCGACTCCCTTGGGCTGCCCCGCAGACGGCAGGCTGCTTGGGGAGGGCCAGAGGCTGCCTGCAAGGCTCTGGCCACGTCCAGGTGTGAGACGCTGCGCCCATGGGTGTGTGTGTGGGTGGGGGGGGGTGGTCAGAGTCTGGGCGTGTGCTGGAAGGCATTGGATGGGGTCCTGAGAGTAAGAGGGGCGTCGGAGATACTGCCGAGGTGTCCAGGTTGCACAGGACAAACGGGTTTGGGTGGGGGTGGGCGAGGGGTTGCCTGTCTGATGTCTTGTTTGTTTTTTAAAATCCTCACCTGGGGAGACACTGAGAGAGAGAGACAGAGGTCGGGTGAGAGAGAAACATCCGTCGCTGCCTCCTGTACACGCCCTGACGGAGGACCGCACCCTCGGCGTGTGCCCTGACCGGGACCAAACACCCAGCCCTTTGGTTATGGTGCAGCGCTCCCGCCGACGGAGCCTCCCCGGCCGGGGCCGCATCCCTTTTCAGGGCCGAGTAATACTCCAGTGCATGCAGAGGGCTTATCACTTGCCCGCCAGCAGACACGGGAGCGGTGTCTGCCTTTGGTGGTGGTCCCTGGCGCCGTGATGGGCATCTGCACCCAGGTGTCCCGGCCCCAGGGTTCCGTTCCTTGGGCAGCACACCCAGAGGTGGGCTCGCTGGGTGGCATCTCCAGCTTTCTCGGCGATCACCAGACCGGGGCCGCGGCTGCACCGTTTCACATTCCCACGGCCCCAGCTCCCGCGGGTACGAGGGTTCCGGCTTCCCCGCGTCCCAACCCACGCTGGCTATTTCGTGTCTTCACTTAACTGCTGCCGCGCTGGCAGGTGCGAGACGGTGCCTCGCTGGGGTTCGGATTGGTGTTTGCCCAGCGACCCGTGGCGTCGGGCCTCTGCACAAGCTCATTGGCCGTTTGTGTGTCTCTTCTTCATACACTGACTCCATTCCTCTGCCCGTTGCTTAAGGGTGGCTTGTCTTTTTGTTGTTGAACTGCAGGAGCTCTTTCTATATTGGGGACATTCACCTCGCCAGCTCTGTGGTTTGCAAGCGTGTCCTCGCCCCCTTCAGGGTGTCTCTGCACCCTGGCAGTGGTGACCTTCAGGGTGTCTCTGCACCCTGGCAGTGGTGACCTTTGCTGTGCTCACGCGGGGGGGGGCGCGACCTCTGCTGGGCTGGGAACCCCTGAGCAAGCAGTCTCGTCCCGCTGCCGTGGGATGCCCGGTCCCGCTCCACTTGGGCAGACGGAGGGGCGTCCCCTTCCTCGGGCCGGTCACAGTGGGTGCTGGGAGCTGGAGGGGCAGGCTGGCCACCGTCCTCGCTGTCACGGGTCTGCGGCCGGAGTCGATCTACGACGCTGTGATCTGTGCTGTGGGAGGTTCCCGATGCTGCCTAAGTGCGCCCCGGGTGCGGCGGCCGCGTCCATCTGGACGGACCCCCCCTGCTCGCCTCCCGGCTGCTGACGTGGGTGCTCAGCGGTCGCCCCCCATCACGCCCGCGGTGGGCCAGGCCTCTGGCCTCTGCTCACCGCGTCCATCTCAGCAGCCTCCCTGGAGGGACTCATTGCTCCCGGCGGAGCACAGCGCCCGGCGTGGGGTGCAGGCTGGCGGCGGAGGGAGGGGTGGGTGAGCTGGTAGATGGGCAGATAAGTGGACGAATAGATGGGTGGGTGGGTGGGTGGCACCATGGCAAGCCCTCTGTGTCCCATCCTCGAATACTCACGGGTCAGCTGGCACTGTGACGAGCCCCTTTGGACAGATGAGGAGGCCGAGGACCGGACAGAGCAAGTGACATGCCCACATGCACACTCAGGATGCTAGGATGCCCTGTCAATCACGAGGGGTGGGTGGGGCCTGCCTGGCTGTGCCGACGGACCTTGGCACTTAGACCAGAGGACCCTCAGACGAGGACCCGAACTGGGTCCCCCCCAGAGCCCGCCCTCCTTGTCCTCCCCAGTCCAGCTGCTGCCCCCCCAGCTGCCCCCCCCATTCCGGGGGGAGGGGCTTCCTGCTGCTGTCGCCCAAGAGCAGGGAGCTGGGTGGCTCAGGAGACCCCTGTCTGGCAGGTGGGTCCCCCTCACCATCAGTCACGGCCCTCAGCCGTTTCCGCTGTTTAACGAAGTACGGAACGCCCTCCGGCCCTCGGAGTCCCACTGGACGGTGGTGCTCTCGCGGCCACCAGGTAGACCAGCGACGGGTCGGGAGCACAGCCCAGGGGACGCCCTGCTGCCCTCTGGGCCTCTCCCCGAGCCCGGGCTGGGCTCCGGGCTCCCGTACACGACTGGCCGGAGCTCCGGGCCCAGATGTCACAGCCCCGCCCGCGGGCCAGAGCCGGGCCGCACCCCTGTTTGCCGCTGGGCGTGCTGTGTGCACAGCACCCTTGACACCCAGGGGCTGGTGCTTCCCCTCCACACTCAGCCGGAAGGACTCGTGCCCACGCACGGCCTCCGGTGTGTCGTGATGCCTTCATGTGCCGACAGGGCGCTCGCGTGTCCCAGTCTGCACGCCCGTCCGTGTGGGAGCGGGGCTGCTGCTGCCCGCTGCTGGGCGGAGGTGGGGTCGCCCACAGCGGTGACTGCGTTGTGTTTCCTGGGCCACTAATGGCGGGGCCTGGAGCAGGCGGGGAGCGGGGCATGGGGGCCGGGCAGAGGGGCAAAGGCCCCCACGGGCCCTGGTTCCCGGTTCCCACATGCGTGCTCTGGAGGTGGTCTGCGCTGGAGTCTGTCTGGAGTGTTCCATTTCCAGTCCCAGCCGTGTCCTCTGTGTCGGGGGGCCCCGGCCCCTCCCACCGCCACGCCTGCGGAAGTCACTAGGCTGTGCGCTGTGGCTACTCCCTGTTCTCTCTGCACCCCCACCTTCCGCCCTGCGCCTGGCCTGGGGCATGCCGGTTCCGGCGCGTTTCCCAAATCTGCCCGAGGCTCCCCGTGCCTGTCACCTCACCGTTGCCTCTGCCCTGGCCATCCTCAGCCCCCCTCCCCTCCCCCCGGGCCTGCAGCGGGGCTCACTGCCTCTCGGACTCCCTTCTCGCTCAGCGTCCCCCACAGGGGCTCAGGAAACCCTTTCTCGGTGCTCTCGGAGGGCTCCTGGGCGGGGCACACGCCGCTGCGTCTCAGTCGCGTGCCCTGCGAGGAAGACGCCGTGCGAAGTGGAAGCCCCTTCCCCGTGGACGTTGGTGCGGTATCTCGGGGAGTCCACCCGCTGCGTGGGTGGGTGGGCGGGTGGGTCTCTGTGGAATGATTT